CAGCTCCCATCCCTTAAGACAATAGTGTATGACAGCATGATAAATTACATATCATTGGCTGATTTAAGAGATGTTATTAAGGGATGGAGCTCTCATTTGGCTAAATTCTTGGATGCGATCAATTATTGGACTCGTTCTGGAAACAAGAAGCCAAAGAAGCTCAATATTACAGTTATTAGAGACGAGACCGCGCCACAACAAACGAGCGGAGCCAGAGGAGATTGTGGTCTTCTCGTATGCTTGGCGTTGGAGCGTTTGACGACGGGAAGCATCAAGTATCTACCTCCCACCGATAGAGATAGAGCTGCAGTAGGCTTGTGGTTTCGGCATTATATGGCTAAATCGATATATACGAGACGCTGCCTACCTGCATCCGCGTTATAAAATGTCCATAAACAATTGGTAAGTTTATACTTTTGGTTTGAAAATGTTTGGTTAAGTACCTAGAATTCAATAATTTGCTGTTTGTAGGTTTTAGATGTGTAGAAAGTGTTGTTTGAGCAAATGTTTGGTTTCTGCAGGTTAATCTCAGAAGTGAACTGCGTGAAAATGATGTATGGCTGCAAAAGTTGATTCAATAGTTTAATTGATTGTTTTTTGATTGTTTAATTGATTTGTAAAAGTTGATTCAATAGTAGATGATCGGAAATAAGAATTATTGCTTATTTTTTGATTGTTTAATTGATTTGTAAAAGATGATTTGTAAAAGTTGATTTGTGTAATTGATGCGAATATAATTCTTATTTGTGCTTGTTTAATTGATTGAAATGTAATGGTTGATTTTGTTGATTTCAATCTGCATTATGTTGAAGGCAAAATTGACTATCGCAATGCGAAATGAAAATCGCAATGCGAAATGAAAATCGCAATGAGAGAATCGCAATGCGAAATGAAAATCGCAATGCGGAAATGAAAATCGCAACGAGAGAATCGTAATGCGATTTTCATTTCGCATTGCGATTCTCTCGTTGCGATTGTAATTTCCGTGTTGCGATAGTCAAATGCATGCCTAATAGTGATAACAACTGAATAACAAGAGTTGGTTAAGTCAAAATGGTTGGCCTGAGTCATTAATTCAACTGAAAATGTTAAAAGTTCACACATAAAATCCACATAATACAACGTTTGCATTTAAAATCACCTAAGTTAACAGTCCCAAAAGGTGAAGCCAATTGTGATTGGGATTTTGAAGATGGTTGCCTTTTGCTTGACACCATATGAGCTTTGGATTTTGATGAGGATCCATATTTTGGTAGAGGAAAAGATGATTTTGATGGCACTGGTGATCCACATGTCAACCTTGTATGACCACTTTCCTTGCACCGACTACATGTCGATCTCTTCTTCTCTTCACCCTTAGACGTATACGATCGTGACTTTTTGGTCGGCCAGGTAGCCTTCTGTCCATGGCTGGTGGCAAAACTGTTTGTAAGTCATCTGGTATGTCCCACTCAGAAGGATGTGGAATAGGGTAGACAATCTCGGCATAAGTCTGTCGATAAACTTCTGTAGTGTAGCAATCCATAGCGTATGCGCTTGAATCATCTTGGTTTAAATGAAGAGCAACTTTTATAACATGGCCACACGGATAACCAGATGTTTGCCATTTCATACAACTACACGTCTTTGCATTTAGATCGACTAGCCCATTTAAGTTATTATCCAGTACTTGAAACAAAGTGTTTGAACATGGTTCAACTCTCCATGACGTTGACTTCACAACACGTTTCGTTATCTTTTTTTCAGTCCATGGTGTAACACGATGTTCCAATGTTCCTGTAAATTTAAATAAACAATACTTAGTAAATATATAAATATGATAAGTTACGAATTCAAAGAAATATACCTGCATGGTTTCTTTTCTTGTAGTACCACTGTTGAATAGAGGCTCGAAAAAACTCCATTAACATAGTAATGGGTAATTTCTGGGAATGACGACTTAGAGCGTTGATTGATTCTGCACTATTAGACGTCATGAAACCATATCTTGCTCCAAGTTGATGTACTCTTGACCATCTTTCAAACCCGACATCTTCTAGTGTTTGAGCACACTGAGGCAAAACACGTCTTAAACAATTTATATGCTTATTGAAATCCACTTCCCGATAAGCTTTTACAGCCTTCCAGTATGTCCATTTGTGCTTTTTATACCAGCAGACCTTGATTTTAGATTTCTATACAAATGAACACCACAAAGTCCATGAAAAACATCTGGGAAACACCTTCTAACAGCGTTGTCAATTGAGTTTGCCCTATCGGATATGATTGTCAGATTGCTAATAGGACCTATGCAATCCCTAAGATGCCCCATAAACCATGTCCATGAATCAGAGGTTTCAGATTTGCCAACCCCGTAAGCTATTGGCAATATCCCATTGTTAGCATCCATGGCTACTGCTAATAAGTTTACTCCAAGGTATCGACCTTTCAAATGTGCTCCGTCAACTATAATAACTGGGCGCATGCAAGTAATAAACGAACGAATCTACAAAATAATATACACAAGAAATATAATCATTTAAATGTGAAATGCATGTAACTAACAAAAATGAGTCAACAAAATTATATTGATTTACTAACCGTAGCACCAATGGCGATAAACAGCAACTCAAAGCGTCCATCTCTATCTGTTTTGATATGAGTTACCGACCCAGGATTTTTCAGCTTTAAATTGTGACAATAAGCCGGCAGTTGGGCAAACGATGCTTCTGGCGACCCCCTCAACAATTCCAAGGCATAACATTTGGCTCTCCAAGCTTGAGAATATGATATACCCTGCCATTCAAAAACATTAACTCAGCCAGAAAACCACCCAACACCTTTTTGTTTGCCTGTCTATGGTGAGGAAAAACTTGGGTTCTTGAACATGTATGTTTATCAATAAAAGTCCTAACTTGAAACATTTTGCAATCTTTTATTCTCTTTGCAATCATACGCCACGTACAGTTTTTGTCAATCATACACCTTGTTTCGAAACGATCTTTGCTTGATTTGTTAACTTTTAGTTGATAGCCATCTTCCACACATTTCGTATACAAAGCTATCTTCAAGTCTTCCTTTGTATCAAAACAATCATCTTTCTTGACGCGAATAACTTTTGTGTAACAATCAACTGCTTTCTTTGCCAACTCTTCTTCCGGTAACTGAAGTAATTCTGGCATATTCCAGTTATACTCCTGTGGCATTTTCTTTTCTTCGGGGACCTTTTCTTCTTCTTTTTCTTCTTCAGGATTATATGAATTACAGAATGGATGTTCAACATGTTCATTCACAGTCGTAACTTCCTCCTCATTATCATCAACAACATCTTCCTCGGCAACGGGTGTTTCATCATCAAAATTCGGGTATTGACCAATATTAAAATCATTACACACATGGTCTGTTTCTTCTTCTGAAACATCATCAAAATCCGTGTATTGACCAATATCAAAGTCCGGATATTGACCAAGACCAAATTCGAATACTGACTAGTACTCACAATTTTTCTGTTGGCTCATCATCGTCTAACTGGTCAATACGAAAACCGGAATTTGGTGCTGAAAGTTGATTGGGATTTGGATTAGAGAAAGGTTGTGGGTTTTGAGAAAAACTTAGTTGATTACTACCCTACTGACCCAACAATACTACTTCTAGGTTCAACAACATACAATGTAACATCATCTTGTGAAACACTAATGTAAGCAATGAATCGTTCAACATCTTTATTGTCGGTTAACAAATAAACTTTACCATTTCTCTGATAAGATAGCCTAAATCCACTTAGGGGCTCTAAATTCAATTTATTTGAAACACGTAGCATTAGAGTTTCATAAGTTAACTTTTGTAAAGACAATTTAGTTGAAGATTCATGGGTAAAGGCATATAATGTAAAACACCATGAACATTATCCCATGACCCTCCAAAACACAAATCTATCCAAACATGATCAACATTAGATGATTTCATGGTTGTAAATTAATTTACTAAACAGACGAGCTGCGAAACTAAAACCTGTTGCCGGATTGGGAAGGATGTCGTTGGATATAGGAACGGATGTCGCCGGAGAGAGTGATAGATGGAGATGGAATGAGTTGCGATTTAGGGATTTAGTTTATGATTTCAGTGTTATATACCCAAAATTTCAGTGTTGTGATTTACAGATTCTCGTTGCGATTTACGGATTATCGTTGCGATTTACAGATTCTCGTTGCGATTTACGGATTATCGTTGCGATTTACAGATTCTCGTTGCGATTTACGGATTATCGTTGCGATTTACGGATACGCGTTGCGATATACGGATACGCATTGCGATTTACGGATACGCGTTGCGATATACGGATACACGTTGCGATTTATGTGTTCGCGTTGCGATTTTCATATTCGCGTTGCGATTTTGGAAAATCGCACTGCGAATCCGTATATCGCATTGCGATTTTCAAGAATCGCGTTGCGATTTTGGAAACTGATTTGCGATTCTGGGGATCGCGTTGCGATTTTTATTTCGCGTTGCGATTTTGTTGGTCATTTTGGCAAATCCAAAAAAAGTTGGTTAAAATCGTATATTATAACTTTTTTTTGGTCACTGAGGCGATTTTCTCTTATTAAAATGTACCCTCTTAAAAGAGGATCATGCTTTTTTTTTGTGAGTAGTTGGTGTTTAATGAGATTTCTTCATGTTTTCTATTTAAATTTGATGTATTTATTAAATAGTTTATTAAACGTAATAAAAAAATTACAAGCAAATTTATTTAGTTTTGTTTGTTCTTATGATGTAATTTTTTGATACTTGTAATTAGAGGTCTAATTTCTATATTCGTCCCAGGTTACTAAAATATCAGAAACGGGCCTGTAAGTTGGGTTTTGGCTATCTTCGTCATTCAAAATGTACATGGTTTTTCAGCTGTTCACTGGATTCAAGCGAGTGACTGTGTGAAGTTGAACATTTTGTATCTTCAAGGTTTAGCAACCCTTCATTGGTCACAATTGTAACTCATGTAATTTTGTAATGTTCCTCGTCAGATTGGAAAAACTGGGAGCGCTGAAGTGGAACAAGGTAGTGCATGGAAATCAAGGATGGAGGCTTATCACTTGCATCTGGCTGCAAGCAGGAGTTATTCATCTGCTCGCCAACATGTTGAGCTTGGTCTTTATTGGCATACGCCTCGAACAACAATTCGGATTCGGTACGTTATATGTTCCGATCTTAACGTTCGATTAGTTATTCCAAATTATCTATGGAGAAATTTTCACATTACATAGTACTTTTAGAATATGCAACATTGATATCTACCTAGAGGCTTTGGTCCATCATGGTGTTAAAATTGATATTTGTTCTTACTCTTGACAGTACGTGTTGGGCTTATCTATCTGTTGTCTGGTCTCGGTGGGAGCATGCTATCGGCTCTTTTCATTCAGCGTAATATCTCTGTCGGTGCTTCCGGAGCTTTATTGGCCTTCTCGGGGCAATGTTATCGGAGCTGCTGACTAACTGGACTATCTATATAATAAGGTATGTTACTTCCCCTTGGTTTCTATCTCCTTTACATGCTATATGCCGTTGGAATGGTAATTGACTTCATGTTGGAGCTTAAGATAAGTACTTTTTTTTTCCTTTGGTATTGTAGGCTGCAGCAGTGATCACGCTTGTGGTCATCATTGCCATAAACTTGGCAGTAGGGATTCTTCCTCATGTCGACAACTTTGCGCATATCAGAGGTTTCTTGTCCGGCTTTTACTTGGGTTTGTTTTGCTGCTTCCTCCGCAGTTCGGGTGGGGGCATAAGGATCTTCCTGCTGGTGCTCCTTTAAAGTCCAAGCATAAGTCATACCAATACGTGTTCTGTGTGATTGCTGCGGTTTCACTCATTGTGGGTAAGCTTTCGAAACCGCCATCTTATTAACGTCTCGATGGTTCCTCCGGTGAACTGATTCCGGTCATGCCGATGATTTTTGTTTAACTTCCTTGTGTTGATGGCAGTTTCAGTGTGGGGTTAGTAATGCTGTTTAGAGGGGAGAATGGAAACGACCATTGCAGCTGGTGCCATTACCTGAGCTGTGTTCCTACATCAAAATGGCACTGTGGAGACTAATGATACCCTTACCCGTTGTCACTAAGCTTAAATATATATTTTGGTACCTCAATTACATGTTGATAGTTAAAGAAATTTTACTACATAAATTTCAATTTCATCCACTATTTTGATACTTTTATTAATGGTGATAACTTTTAATATATGATATTATTAAGAGAAAATAACCTCAGTGACCAAAAATGCCTTATAATATACGAATTTAACCAACTTTTTTTGGATTTACCAAAATGACCAACAAATTCGCAACGCGAACTCCAATTTCGCAACCCAGTTTCTAAATTCGCAACGCGAATATGTAAATCGCATTGCGATTTTCCAAATTCGCAACGCGAATCTATAAATCGCAACGCGAATTTGTAAATCGTAACATAGAAGTCAAATTCGTAACGCGATAGTCAAATTTGCAACGCGAAAGTCAAATGTTTTTACGCGAAACACAATATTAATTTCGCAACACAAATGTAAACAATATTATCGCAAATTATCTTTAACCTAAAACCCTAAATCACAACTCAGTCCCATCTCCATCTTTCACTCTCTACGGCGACATCCGTCCCCATCTCCGACGAAATTCATCTATCTCAATCTCTCAGAGCAACCCTCACAACCATTCATGGTCAGAAATAGAAAATCAACCACCGAGGGTTAGTTTTTTTAATCACTTATTTTTATTTTGAAATTTTTGTATTATTATTTTTTTTCTTATTGATGATAAATTTACTGGTAATTTCAATATATATAGATTAACCATTTCACTGAGATTGCTTAGTAAATTCATTCGGTTGCTGCCAATACTGTTAAACTGTTTAGTCTTTAACCCTGTGAAGTTAGTAGTTGTTTTTGTTTTGTCTTTTTGTTGAAGAAACCCTAAATCGCAACACCAAATTCACAACGCGAAAATCACAACGTGAAAATAAAAATCGCAACGCGATTTTAGTTTCGCATTGCGATTTTCATTTTCGCGTTGCGAATTTAAGTTTCAGAAACTTCTTTTATTCTGCAAATTGAAACTTGAATGAATTGCATTACTTCAACCAAAAAACAAAGACAAATACTAACTTCACAGTGTTGCTAATTTAAGTTTCAAGAATAAACTACTACTCTTTATGTTATCCTTGAACCTGCACTAAACCTATATGTTGTCTTTTTAAATGTTTATATAAGTGCTTACTTCTGGAATGTTATCTGATGCATTTTGTGAACTATGATGGAATAATGACTTGGGTGAATACCGTGCTAGTTTGAAACATATTTGTCTTTGTTTTCACTGTTTAATATCATGTCTGTTTATAGTGTATAATTTGTAGTTTTTGGTATATCTAACTGTATGTTTATTGTTTTTGTAGAAATTGTTTTGGTTGCATTGACCTTAAGGAATAAATTAAGCCTAGCCACTAAAATTGCGTTGACGCTTACACCTCTACAAAGAAAATTGTTTGAGGATACTTGCTTCGGGCCATGGCTGAAAGTGCAACATACGGGTGGAGATGCTATGTTGACACATTTGTTTCTTCAGACCATGACTAACGATCTACCCGAGGGGATACAACGTGGTGATGAGGAGATATGGTTTCATTTTCCTCTAGCACATACTTGTTTTGGGCGGGAGGAGTTTTGCTTAATCACTGGTCTACGCTTCGGACACGATGATGTAGGTCGGTACACTAGTCATATCACCCGCCCATCATGGTTATCTCGGGTTTTTCCTGAGCTGGTAAAGTCGAAGCCGAGTTTACACGTCGACGACTTGAAGAGATTATTTGATAAAGATGGTTTTACTCGGATAGATGACCTTGATGTTGTCCGAGTATGCCATTTATTACTTTTGCATGCCGGTTTTTTAGGCAAAGAGGGCAGACAACCTATCTCCGAGGACCTAATATTATTGGTAGAGGACCTAAATGCATGGAACCTGTTTTCGTGGGGTTCATATATATGGAAAGCTACCTTGAAGAAGTTGTCGTCTGCCTTTGAGGACCGAAAAAGTTTGCGGGGCGATGGTTCTAAATATACTTTGACAGGCTTTACTTGGGCCTTTAAGGTAAGAATTTCTATATAATGTTTCCAAAATTATAATTAATTATTTAACAATTACTAATGTTTATGTATTATATTGTTTGTAGATTTGGATATTTGAGGCTTTCCCCAGCATGCGAACATATGCGATAAAAAGATCAAATGATATTCCTAGGGCTATTACCTGGAAAAAGATCCGCATGTTGGATTGGGAAGAGTTACTCCCATATACGACGATGAATGATATAAGTTAACACACAATACCATATATAACAAGTTATTACTAGTACAAGTTTAACTTTGTTTGAGCTTTTATATTGTTAGGATGCCAACTATCCATTACAGAGGCTGACACCCACAGAGGCTGAGCTTGCCACTGATTGGTGGCAAGCTAGTAAGCGGTTTTTTGATGGGACGGATGATGAGCACCCCCACCTCGAGAGCCATCACCTGATCGGGCTGATTCTACAGCTCGACACCCGGAGCCATCACCTGATCGAGCCTCTTCTCCACCTCTACCATCACCTATTTCATCACATCATCAAGCCTCTTATCCACCATCACCTCATGATAGGCGACCGACAAGAGGCCACGACATTTATCTCCCTGTTGAATTACATATCATTGTCTGATTTGAGAGATATTATTACAAAGGGATGGAGCGATCATTTGGCTAAATACTTGGATGCGATTGATTATTGGACAAATTCTGGAAACAAGAAGCCAAATAAGTTCAAAATTACAATGATCAGAGATGAGACTGCGCCACAACAAACGTAGGGAGCCAGAGGGGATTGTGGTCCTCTCGTATGCTTGTGCTTGGAATGTTTGACGACAAGAAGTAAACAGTATCTACCTCCCACAGATAGAGATAGATGTGCAGTAGGCTTGTGGTTTTGGAATTATATGGCCAGATCGATATATACGAGACGCTGCCTACCTGCATCCGCGTGCTGAAAGTGTGTATAAACAATTGGTAAGTTTGAGCAAGTGTTGCTAACATATATACTCTTTAATTGGTTTGAAAATATTTGGTTAAGTACCTAGAATTCAGTAATTTGCTGTTTGTTGGTTTTAGATGTGTAGAAAGTGTTGTTTGAGTAAATGTTTGGTTTCTGCAGGTTAATCCTGAAGTGAGCTGCGTGAAATTGATGTATTTGTGCATAAACAACAGTCTGGGTACACTTTTTTTGCTTTGTTTAATTGAATTTTACATTGAAAGTTGATTTGTTTAATTGATGAGGAAATAAGATTTATTTTTTGATTAATTTATTTGTAAAAGTTGATTTGTTTAATTTGATGTGTAAATAAGAATTATTTTTTTGCTTGTTTAATTGATTTGTAAAAGTTGATTTGTTATTTCTAAAAAATTCAATCTGCAATATGTTTGAAGGCAAAAAAGACCTGTTGAAGGTACAAATTCGCAACGCGAAAGTTAAATTCGAAATGTGAAAGTCAAATTTGCAACGCGATTTTTGGTTTGCGAATTTGACTTTCGTTGCGAATTTGGCTATCGCAACGCTTATTTCACGTTGCGAATTTGACTTTCGCTTTGATTGCAACATACAACATCAAGGTATATACAACATCAAACACATTCCAAGCTATAAATATAAGCTAATGACACTTGAAGAAGTAAGAGAACAACTATCCAAGCAATCAAACACAAGAGAAAATTCCAACATGATAACAACTGAACAGATCATAGCAATGTTCAAACTCAAGTTGTAGATTTTGATTTTCTTTTGCTTGGCACCATATGAGATTTGGATTTTGATTTCCTTTTGCTTGGCACCATATGAGCTTTGGATTTTGATGAGTATGGGAAGCATTTCAGACTTATGATTTGGGTGGTACTCGGAAGCATTTCATACTTATTATTTTTGTTATTATTACAAGTTGTAGCCCTCAATTATCAGTATTTTTAGTTGCCATTTGTTGCATTTCTCGTATACCACCCAGATCATATGCCCGAAACGTTTCTGACACTTTAAATTTGACCAAAAATTACGATGGTCGGGATTTCCCTCGCGTTTAAAGTTGAAAAAAAAACAATGGAAATTAGGAATAATTAATGATAACATGCATATTGGCTTGGGCTAATATTTATAGTGGAGCCGAAATTGATATTGAAATTCAAACTCAAATTGAAATTTAAATTCAAACTCCAATTACATATGAAATAAATTTGAAATGCAGTGTTAAATTGAACATGGAAATTGCATAATTGATTCATATTGTTCAAGTAACATGCTTTATGAACCATCAAGCTAAAAGACAATATTGATTGAGTCCAAAGCTGAGTTGTGAGTTAATGGGGTTGTCACACTTGTCACATGGTTGGAATAAAGTACTCACATGGAAGAGATAGATTGTTTTGTTATACACAACCCATCTCATCTGAATGAAAATATACATACAATATAATCAAACCAAAACATACATACATAACAAATTTATACATAACAATGTTCAAATAATGTACCCACAAAAATGAAATTAATTCGATGAAAAAGGGTTATTTCTAACGAAGTCCGAAACATTATTTTCCAAATAATGTACCCATAACAATGTTCAAATAATGTACAACGCGATAGTCAAATTCGCAATGTGAAATAAGCGTTGCAATAGTCAAATTCACAACGCGAAAGTCAAATTCGGTTTGCGATTTCGCGTTGCGATTTTGACTTTCGCGTTGATCGCAACATAAAAATCAAGTTATATACAACATCAAACACGTTCCAAGCTATAAATACAAGCTAAGGACACTTGAAGAAGTAAGAGAACAACTATCCAAGCAATCAAACACAAGAGAAAATCCCAACATGATAACAACTGAACAGATCATAGCAATGTTCAACTCAAGTTACTAATGAATGTCTAACTGAAAATGTATGCATTCACACATAAAATACACATAATACAACGTTTTCATTTAAAAATCACCTAAGTTAATAAGTCCAAAAAGGTGAAGCCGGTTGTGATTGGGATTTTG